GATAATAGGGTTGGAAAGAATTTAGTGTCTTAATTGTCATATGATATATTTTATAGAAGCTGTTGTATTCAATAAATATTAATTAAACATTTATAAAGTGTCTTCTGACCACAGGCACGTGTATTCCTTACAGTCACAATTTTATTTTCTCTCTTTGTATGAGTTTATTACTCTTGGGATCTCAATACTACTTGTCAGCTTTTATGTGTAGTGTTTCTTCAAGGTTCATGTATGTAGTATACACCAGTATTATCTTCCTTTATGCTGAATAATACTTCTTTGTATGTAACATTTTGTTTGTTCACCTAATTGTTAGTTGGTACTGTGGATTCTTTCCACTTTTTAAGCTATTGTGAATAATGCTGCTAGGCAGTTAATGTACCCCTCTGAGTATTTGCTTTTCGCTTGTTTTCAGTATGTGCTTGTAAGAGGAATTGTGGATCATGTAGTAATTCTCTTTCATGTTTTGGTAAACCGTACTGTTTTGTATAGCTGCTGTGATATTTTACATTCTTACTTGTATGTTTTTTTTTTTATTATTGGCCATCCTAATGGGTATGTAGTGTTATCATTGTGGCTTTGATTTGTATTTCCTTTCTTAGAGATTTAAGACATATTTTCAGAGTTTATTGCTCATTTGTTTACCTTATAGAGTAGTGTCTGTATGTACTTTTTCATTAGACTTTTGTTGAGATACAGGAATTGGTTGTGTATTCTGGATGTTAATCCATATGTAATGTCTACTCTTGGTTGTCAGTTTGATTTCATCTGGAATTAACTAAAATCCCAAGCTGTTGGGCATACCTATGAGATAGATCATTTGAGGTAGGAAGACACACCTGAAATCTATGTCACTTGAGGTCACAATACCATAAGACCCACCTTTAACCTGGCCACACCTTCTTGCAGCAGCCCAATAAGGATAAGGAAGAAAGAAGCTGCTGCTTTAGACAAGTTGTCCTTGCTTTTCTTTCACTCTTAGAGCCTCCTTCTTAGGGATTCTAACATACCGAAGGCCACCTGAACATCTACCTCATGGACTGAACAACTATTAGATTCTTGTACTGTCTTTTGGGAGACAGCTTTTGTTGGATTAACCGGATATAACACCTGTAATTCTAGCAATTTGGAAGGCTGGGGCATTATTGGTGCTTGTGAGGCCAGTCGTGGTGGCTGTTGAGGTGGTAGTACACACAGGATTTGTTGGAGGGATGTGGCCTTGTTGGAGGAGTTGTGTCATTGGGCATGGGCTTTGAAGTTTCAAAAGCTCATGCCAAGCCTAGTGTCTCTTGCCTGTGGATCTGGGTATAAAGCTCTCAACTACTGCTCCAGCATCCTGCCATGAGGATAATGAATAACCCTCTGAAACTGTGAGCAAGCCCCCAGTTAAATACTTTCTGTTAGAGTTGTTGCCTTGGTCATAGTTTCTCTTCACAACTACTAGTTTGCATTAGAGTAAGAGTCAGTGCTCTCAGCACAGAGCCTTTCCGATGACTGACTGATTGTATGCACCCCATCACATGGTACTTTCTGAAATGAGTTTCTGAAGAAGTGATTAACAAGTTATGATCAGAACCTCTTTAATGTTTTTTAAGTTGCATTATGTTTCTACTTTTGGAAATGTAAGTTGTCCTTAAATAAGGACTAGAAATCTGAGAATGATTTTAGAGTAACTTTCATTTGGCTGAATACATCTACAAAACTAAAAATATAATGAGGAAAGTCTTACATTCTGTGTAATGCATTATAGAGTAAAATGGAATTTTTATCATTAACACTGATAATTATGGGAATGAAAGTCATGTGTAGGTGTGTTTGTTACCTCTGTATTCACAGACTGATTCAAAAATGTGCACCTCATTCAGAATTAGTGTTCCACACTGTGTACAGTAAAATACATGGGGGCTGTTATGTAACTAATGGGTTCCTCATTATATGTGTAGTTTGGAGAACCTTTTTTTTTTTTTATATAGATGATGTTTAATTGAACATCCTTAAGAATATGTTTACATGGACCAAATTAGCAACCTGTATATAAATTACTAGCATTGAAAAACTAAGTCAAAGATACACATATCTTGAATTAGAATAGACATTGCCAAGTTGTCTTTCAAAGGATTACCCTTATTTAACCACCTAACAGTGTATGACAGTCTGCTTCTCTGCATGTATCTTTTACCTGGGTACTAACGAGCTCATAATCTACAGCTATTACTACATAATTGAGCTAATAATATAAAAGCTGTGCCAAGAAGCTGGCCACAGACCTGCTACATCCCATTTCCCTGAATGATTTTTTATAGTTTTCACCACCAAGTTCTGCAGTCAGCAGAGTAAGGCCAAAATCTTGATGAAGAGTTGATTATATTTATTTCCCTGGGCCAGGCCTTTTGTTGCGTTGTGATACCAGTTTCTAGAATAGTCACCCAGATACCTCAAGTGAGAACATTGACCACATTTATATTATTCCTGCATATATCTGTCTGCACATACATATGATGAACACACAGATGACTATCTTTGAACCATTTGAAGATAAAATGCCAGCATCAGATTTTTCTCTAAACCTAGAAGACCAGTGACTGAAATTAGGAAATTAAAATTAATCTGATCTGTTTTATCCAGATACTGTTAATTTTCTAATATCTTCTACAACTGAAAAACATCCTAAACTATATGTTGCATGAGGTTTTTTTGTTGTTTTGTTCTTTGTTTTTGTCTTTTTAACTGGGTCAGTTTCTTATTTTGTTTGTTTCACAGTTTGAATTTGTTCCTCACGTTTAAATTCAAGATCTACATTTTCACTATAATGTAATAAAAGTGACATTGTGTCTTATTGCATTGCATAAGTGGCATTTAGTAAATATGATTTAAGTCAGACCCATTCCATCTCCCTGTTGCCTTATTTTATGGGGAGTGGGATTCTGCAGAGGAATCCACAGCTTCATGCATACTGGCTAAGTATACATTCTACCACTGAGATACATGTACTCTGCCCCATTCAGTGACACACACAACTGAAATAGTTCGTCCACAGTCTGACTATACTTTTTTTTTTTTTTTTTGAGTCTACAGATTTAGAGAATTTCATTGTGAGGCCATAGTTTTACACCCCCCCCCCCCCCAAACACTTTCACTAACCTTTCATAGACAAACTTGAAAAGCCAGGTGCAGAGTGCAGTTGAGGATGATGATCTTAGGTCGTATCTTTTCTGTTCCCACTCATTGACATAGATTGCTGGCAGATAGTTAAAAGGGTTTTTTTGCTTTTTTAAATTTAAAGTGAAAAAATATAGACGGGACTTTAAAAATTAAGAAAAAAGGTACTTTTGAAGTGTTTCTACACAGTATGTATAATAACGGGGAGGGGTCCAAGGGGTGTGCTTTCCTCTTTCGGCATCTACTGCCTGTCTTGGACATCAGCTCTGGGGGCTGTTTGCTCTGTTAGGAATGTGCTTACTAAACATGGTGGTCTAGGAGGATGCAGCATACTGCCTTGATCATATTTGTTGCATTCATTGGGACCAGTGGTTACATTGAGCTGAATTCTAGCACAGTTGCTTTTAAAAGTAACCATTAAGATAAGGCCTGGTTCAAAATAAGATTTAAAAAGGCAGAGACATGTCCTTTTGTTGGAGTCAGAGACTCAGGATATTGCATGAGTACTTGGCAAGCATTCTCCCACTGAGCTATACCCTAGCTCTTTCCTGATAGAGTGTCTTTTTCAAAGGTCTGTTTTCTGCACCCATAGATAGAAAACCAGTAAACTCTTTAAAAATAAATTATGTGTTTTCTTAAAATGTATATTCAAGGTTTGGAATATTGCCTAGTTGGTAGAGTATTTGCTTAGTATACACAAGGCTCTGGGTTTGATTCCGAAGTATTGACTAAAACTGATTGTGGAGGTAGAAGCATATGGATCAAAAGTTCAAGGTCGTCAATTACCTGGTAAGTTGGACACCAGCCTGGGATTCATGATACCCTGTCTCATAACAAATACCAATAACAAAAAGTCATTTTCAGATAGATAAATTTTTCTAAAATTTTTGCTGTCGTAAATTATGAATATGATTAACTTATTTCCCTGTCTGTTTGCCCTGGTTGTGCATAAGTTCCATAAGGACATGGGTTTATGCCTCTTGCTCATTGATGTTTTCGACATACCTGTACTTAATTAATTCCTAGTTATTCTATGATAACCATTTGTTATCATGGGATGTATACTGATGAACAGCATGTAGTCAGTTTCTCTTATTGGTGCAAATGCATTGAAAGTATGGGTTAGTCTGCTCTGTCTAGCACTTTTTTCTTAAGTGATTGCTCAGAACTCCCAGTGCTTTATTATAATTAAGTACTGTCTATAGAACTTTGGGTTGTTAGTGTTTTCTTTTCCACTTTTTCCTTCCAGTAGCTCAGTGATATTGCTTGCCTTTAATTCTTTTTAATCCCATTTCAAGATGATGGAGAAAACTTGTAAAATTAAGAAAAATAGAATTGCTTTAAGCTCTGTGGTCCCATTGACAAGAAGTTTCTTCCATGTTTTACACCTGTTTTTCAGTTCATTATTGTGTTTCTGTGCAGCAGCAGAGTGGCTGTGCTTCCTCTGGCTGAGGTGTGGCTGCTGAGTTGTTCTGTACTCACAGCACTTGTTCTGGGCCCCCTTTCTTCTTTTGGTATTTGAAGTGGTTGTTTTAGTTTTTTAAAGTGACATGCAGTTGCAGTTGATTGTGGGGTGACATGTAGGTGCTAGGTATTGAATTCATGTCTTTGGGACACAGCAGCAAGTGTTCTTACTGCTGAGCCATCTTTCTGTCCTTTGTTTTTAAGAGCTCTTTGTATTGTATGTTTGTTATTTCTGGCCACAGATGATTGCTGGGGGATTTGTCTTTCACTGTTCGTAATTAAGATTGACAAGTCATACGGACACTTTCTAATGCCTTATAGTTTACTGTGATATTTATCTGACGGCTTATTTACTTTTTTTTCTTTAATTTTTCCAGGAAATTTGGTGAGCGGCCTCCACCTAAACGACTCACTAGGTAAGCATACTAGCCATTTAAACATTGACTGCGCATATAGATCCTATCATTTTAGACACTAATATGAAGTGCTCTGAGAAAATCAGATATTGATAATACATCTTGAGCCCTTCCATTCCCTTCTCTCCTAAAAGGTGGGGGTGGAAATAAAAGGATATACTTTAAAAATGAAGTATTTTTTTAGAAATTCAACAGCTGCAACTATGTTTAGCCAATCAGTCCTTGATATGTAAGGGAAAGACTTGAGAGATTTAATAGATGCTTTGTGAAATGAATACTCAAAACTTTCCCTCTATCATTTTAAAAGAAAATCTAAGATTTACTCACTTTTATGATAATATAGTGTTCTAATTATGTAAGTTAATTTTACAGTATATAGTCTTAATATATTTCAAAGAATTAACTTAAAAATTATACAATAAAGAATCCATTGGTTTTACATTTTACAGTTTCATTCCTCGGCATTGACCTTGTTTTTTTTTTTTTGTTTGTTTGTTTGTTTTTTCTTTTTCAAGACAGGGTTTCTCTGTGTAGCTCTGGTTGTCCTGGAACTCACTCTGTATCACTCTGTAGACGGGCCTCGAACTCAGAACTCCACCTGCCTTTGCCTCCCAAATGCTGGGATTAAAGGCGTGCGCCACCACTGTCCGGCTTGACCCTGTTTTTAAAAAATTAAATTTCCAAGAAGGGGGTGGGGAGAAAGAGAAAGAGTGAGAGAGTGTGTGTGTTTCTTTTTCATTTGAAACTAAACTGGGGTCTCACTTTAGTGTTGTCCTGTGTTCTTTAAACCCCACAATGTATTGTATTCCCTTCGATTTGCTGAGTTCTCTGTAATAACTGTGGTGTTCTGTTGTAGTCACATTCTCCTTGGTTCATACTGATGGCTGCTTAGGCTACTACCAAGTAAATACTACCATTAAGATATTTATTGAAGACAGTTGTGGGTTGCACATGGTAGTACAAACCTTATTTAGTACTGTACTCAGGAGGAAAAAGCAGACAGATCTCTGTGTGTTCAAGGCCACCAGAACTAGTGAGTCCCAGGCCATCCAAGGCTGCATAATGACATCAAAGAAAGAAAGGAAGGATTGAGGGAAGAAAGAAAAGAAAAAATATATTAAAAATGATAAACACAGAAGATGGTTTGAAGACAAATTTGGGACATCATAATCAAACAATAATGATACAAAACATAAAATATCAAAACATAAAATCAGTCTGTATACAATGAAAATTCATAATCTGAAAATTTGAAGTCTGATGTTCCCTAGAACCCCTTTAAGTTTCAGCATAATGGCTTAAAAAGTTTCAGATTTTGGAATATGATTTTAGGATGCCCAAATATTAACATCTATGAAAATATTCCAAAATATGAAAACTATAAGACTCTTTATAATCTGAAATATTTCTGGTCCTAAGAATTTTGGAAAAGAGATAATTTATATTGAGATAGTTGTTTGACTGTCTCAGTGTTTATACTTACCTAAGTATTACAGAACTGTTACTGAGGAGGTAACAAGGGGATGGAGAGGACCTCTTAAGAAGAGCACTCAGTGAATGTATGGCTCTTTCCTGAAGACCTGAAGAGTGGGACAGCAGTGCAGATCTGCAGAGCAGTCGTCACTAGTCTTCTGCATACACACTCATGAGAAAGCTACCTACAACTGAGGGGAAAAATTGGAAAGGAACCACATCTGAAGGTTATGGAAGGCTATGAATTGTGCTTGCTTTCAATAGTCAGAATAAAAATCCCACAATCAGGCCTATCTTTGTAGAATTATGTCCAGACTAAATTGTGCTTTGGTTTCATCTAACTGTCATGGAATAGAGTTAAAGACTGAAGCTTCCAAGAAACTCAGTGTTTTACAAAACAGCACAAGAGCAGAGAGTAAGACAGTGAGGCCCTCCGAGCTGCATCAACTCAGCTTGTTCCACACAGCTCAGTAGAGGAGCAAGAACTGTGTGGGATGCTGGAAGCGGCAGAGCTCAGTCAGCCACACAGAGAAGCTGTACATAGAATCTTCAGCAAGAAGAAACCCAATCCAGACCAGCCCAGAAGTGTCTATTGCAGGAGCTAAGACTTAGCTGGCTTCAGTGCCCGGTTCTACAGAGTGCTTCAGGACGAAGCCTTTAGATACCTTCCTCAAAGCTGGGAAAAAGGGTCTAGTTCTAGTGTATTCTGAGGACAGAATGCTGTTACCTAAGGTAGGCAAAAGCTCGTATGCTGCTAAAGCACAGAAGCACAACTATAGACTAACACTCCATGTGAACAAAGATTTCTGTTCAGAAGTTCAAAAAAAGAATGAACTCTGCATACACAAGTTCTAGAAAATAGCTTCTCTTTCGGACAGGACAGGATGCAGATGTTTATTGTTTCCTGGAATGGGACAGAGCAGAAGAGATTTCAGAGACTCAGAAGAACAGCTTTGGGGAGCTGAGACTATCCTGTTGTTGCAGTGTGGTGTAGTGTGCTGGTACTAAAGCCACCATATGATAGGCCAACTAGATCTCATTAAAACTCTTTTTTTTGTTGTTTTTTTGTTTTTTTGTTTTTCGAGACAGGGTTTCTCTGTGTTGCCCTGGCTGTCCTGGAACTAACTCTGTAGACCAGGCTGGCCTCGAACTCAGAAATCCGCCTGCCTCTGCCTCCCAAGTACTGGGATTAAAGGCGTGCGCCACCACTGCCCAGCCTCATTAAAACTCTTAACATTTTAGTAACCTTTTTACATAGGAGATAACGTGAGAGACTAGCATATCTTCTTTGGGAGAATTCGATTAAGCTTTGTTTCTCCTAAAGCAAACTGCAGATGTCTTCATTGCCTATGCAAATCTAGCAAATGCGTCTAAGGGCGAATGCAAATTGAAAACCAATAACCAATTCTGTGGTAAAATTAGTTTTACTAAATACAAACTTGAAGTTAAGATATTTTCTTAATAATTTATATACCAAATTTAGTACCATCAAATACCAACTTCGAAATCTTACTCTCCCCTGAAGTGATTCTGCTTTAGGAAAACAATGTCTTATTTGGCAAAAAAATATTTTAAGAAGTTTTGTCTTCACTGTGTTGTAGGGAGTATAATTTAGGGACCGTGTCTTCTCTTTTAAGGAACTTTAAAAGCCTACCCTGCCTTGTTCTGTCTTAATTTTGCCCAAAGTAAACAGTATTGGTGGGAAAGTTTCTAATAAGGCCTGGAGAATTCTTTATACATGATTTAAATTTTTGGTAAAAGCATAAATAAATGGAGTAAATACTACACTATTCAATATGACTGAATTTGCTTTTAAAGAATTACATTTATGTGTGTGTGCTACACTGTACTTGTGGAAGTCAAAAGACCGTTTGGGAAAAGGAAATCTTCTCACCTTCCATGAATCCCAGGGATAGAAGCCTACACATTCTTTCAGAAATAGTTTTGTTATTTTTCTTCTCCTATAAATGTAAACTATGACCTGCTAACTAATGCTCTTGCTAAAATTTGTTGAGTAACAGGATTTTCTTTATGAAGTTTACCATTATTTTAGTTTGCATAATTGCTAGAATGATTATATATTCTTTTGCTCAAAATATCTTTTGTCTGTTATTGGGAGTAATGCTTTTCATAGAGCCTATCTCTTTCATGGAGACATCTCTCTACTCTTAAAATCCTGTGCGTGAGACACATGAATCATTTATTTTTTTTTACTTAAGCTAGGTTGATGTTTGAACAGTGTTTAGTAGTTAGACTTCTCTCCCTCCCTCCTTCTCTCCCTCCTTCCTTCTCTCCCTCCCTTCCTCTCTCTCCCTCTCTTCCTTTCTCCCTCCCTCATTTGTTATCAGTGGCCATGTCTGGAGATGAGAGGACAACTTTCAGGAGGTCATCTCTTTCACAGTTGTCAGGCTTACAGGACAATCACCTCTACTTGCTGAGCCACCTGCCTGTCCCCTCCTCTGTAGCAAGATGCTGTTCTTACATTTTAATCCATTCATTCTCATTAAATAAGACAAACATATATAAATGTGCTTATAGATTTGGTAGATATGCTGTACAGAGTTGAATGAAAAGCTCTCACCTAAAAGGAAGGAAAGATAGGTTTAATCTGTAGCAAAATATAGGTGACTGTGGCCCAGAAACATTCATCAAGGTCTCTCCAAATACAAAGTGCTAACATGGAAGCAATTTCATAGAATTTTTATGGTGACAAAACAAAGTTATAAATCAAAAGATTTAGAAAATACAGTTATATCAGGGAAGCAGGTTACAGCAAGATGGGAGATAGACTGCCTTCTATGCTATCTGACAACGCGTGCAGTCTTTTTATTGGTGGAAAATTGAGGTTTTGTTAAGTTAATACAGTCTAAATCTGGATAGTAGCAGGAGCCAGCACAGAGGTGGGAGTGGGGATATGACCATTTAGTAGACTAATGATAGCCCCAAATAGATTGTAATTAGACTCTGAAATAGCAAAATTTCAACCTCCCCACATCTTTGGTTTTGTCAGTCAACCTGTGCACACAACTTCTTCCCAAAAAATTCTTCTCACAATGCGTTGAGGCTTAAGTCAAAAGCATAAAGCGGTGCGCATCCCCAAGTCTTTTACTGGCATGCCTGCAAAGTCCTCATGCCCGTTCTCTCCTGCAGCATGTGCATATAGTTATGGGCTTGAATGGCTCTTTAAAAGGAAAGCAATAATGATACCTATAACTTGCTGATAAGAACTACTTGTCGGGGGTGGGGCCTAACTCACTTTTAGGTTTGTTATTTTTTTCCTCTTTCGCAGTAGCTTCACAGAGGTGACAAACCTCAGATTAAAAAAAAAACAGAGTTAAGATTCAGACCCTGTTTCCTATCAGAGATATGGCTTGTACTACAAGTAGTAAACTTTGTCTTTGAGATAGCTAAACTACCTAGCTTTGATTCCTGCCTCTTCTGTATCATTTCCGGAAAGTAACTTAACTGTGTTTGGTCGTGAGGTGTCAAGGCTGTTTGTTATATTAATATACTTGCTTAGAAAAATTAACTAGCACAGCCTCATCTCTCAGTTTCAATCTCATTTTTTTTTTTTTAACATCCCAAATGTTGTCTCTCCCACCCCCCACCTCACAGAGTCCTTTTGCTCCCTCCCCTTCCTGGCGGCACACTAATTCTCTGTAAGATTAGCTGCATCCTCTCCCATTGCAGCCAGAAAAGGCAGCCCTGTGGGCCTGGGGTCTCAGTCCAGCATGTGTATCAAGTAAAAGAACTTGAGGCAAAGCTCTTCCCTTAAAGCCTCTATTGTATGTCTTGGGGAGATAAGAAAAGAAACACATAACCTGGTAAACATACAAGCAAATAGTTACCAAGTGACCTGGCAGAGATCATACTGTTAGTAGAATTTAATTTAGAAAACATGCTTGCAGATAAAACTTTTCAACTATATAGCTGCTTTTCAAGTTCCATGCCTGGGACTTTTATACAAGTTTTGACAGCGTTGGCTTTCTCTCAACTTTTTTTTTTTTTAATCTTGGTATTTTTTTTTTCTCCCATGTATATTATGGAATCTTCCTCACTTCTCTTCCACTTCATTCTTTTAAGCCAGGATCTTTTAATCAAACCCAGAACTTGCCAGTATAGCTGGTTGCTCCAGGGATCTCCTGGCTCTGCCTTCAAGGCTGGAATTACAGGTGGGTCACCATGCTCCCCTGGTATTTAGTTCTGGGAATCTGGCCCTCCTGTAAAGGTTTTAGCCACCGAGCCATATCTCTAGGCTGCTGTTGTTTTTTATTTTATAATCTCCACCCCCATTTTATTCTCTGAGCTGTCACTCACCTCCCGTAATTATACCTTAGTGGCTTTGCCATTGTCAGTCTAGTCTGTTCACTATCGACATTGTGTACATGGTCCTGGTCTTTCATCCCCTACTCCCTGACCTAGATAGACACCATGTTTCAGTGCTTGATTGTACACGTCTTTGCTAATAGTGCACTGCTCCATTCTGTTCCCTTCAGTGGGGGAGGTCCAATCTCTCTGCCCACACTGTATCACTTTCCATGCCTTGCAGCTAAAACATTTTTCTCAGTAAGAATGAATGTCATTAGGTTTTCTCATTAGAGCCCTTTAACCACCCTGGACCAGGCAGTTGTGTTATTTCCAGTGTTCAGATTTTGAAAGTAAAAGCTAGGTAAGGCTCAGTGCTTTATCCAGGGAGTTTAGTGTGCAAGTGACACAAATTTATAGTTCCTTATATTTAATGACTTTATGACAGTTGGTAGTTTTGACAGCTTATTATTGTCATTTGGGTTGTCTTTACTTATAATGTAAGTTGAATATAATTTAAATTTATTAAAAATACCCCTCGATTATCCTAACTTTGATTTTGTGATATGTAAAACATCTCAAGAATTGAAATTCTACTTCTAAACCTGTAGAGTTTTTTTTCCCCTCCTGTATGGCACTTAGTTAAATAAATATACATTGAAATTTTTATAAAACATTTGCTTAATAAGCATGTGGCAGTTTTCATTTGATGTCATTTTAATTTTTTAAAAGCTTAATATAATTTTCAAAAATTTCAATTAGCGTCGTTTTAATAGATTCAGCAAAATCCTTTGGGAGACTGTTAGTTTGGGGCAGTAGAAGTTTGGGTGATTTGATGTTTTGTTGTGACTTAAGTGAGAGGTAGAGGAGCAAGATAAGCTATAGAGAAAGTCAGTTAATTACATGACCAGTGTAAACGTTTATTGTATTTTAACAACCAAGACGCAGACAGAAAGTGTGTATGTATTGTCCTTTGCACAGGATTTTTTTTAAAGGTAGCTCATGTAATTGTTTCTGGTTTTGTGTTTAAGTTTGTTTGTTGAAAAATGTTCATAAGCATTCCTCTCATCAGCTATAGTGAAAGATTTTGACAAAAGCACCAATAGTAACATTTATATTTTGATTACAGGGAAGCTATGCGAAATTATTTAAAAGAACGAGGGGATCAAACAGTACTCATTCTTCATGCAAAAGTTGCACAGAAATCGTACGGAAATGAAAAACGGTAAGGTTGTTGGTTATTTGGGGCAAATAGTGCTTATTTTATAATTTGCATATGATTTATATTTATATCTGAGACTTGTTTCTATTCCTGGGTTTATTTGCATAGTAAAAAAGAAAAAGTAGGTAAGAGGGGACTTATCTCTTAAAGGGAGAACAGTGAATTGTGGCATGTTCAAATCAGAAAACTTAGTGAACACCATCTGACCACATCCTAAATTTTATAAAATTAAGTCTGTTTGTTTTGGAACTGTGTTCCAAGCGTCTCAGTGACGCATTCACTTTTGCAAAGCATCCTTTCTTTTGGGGGTAAAGTGTAATTTGATAAACAACTGCACTCTTGCGTCCCACCCCTGTGCCATTTTAAAAAGGATAAGATAATTATAACAGTTATGTAATCCTGGCTATAGGAGAGGCTGAGACAGGAGGATGGCAAGTTCAAAGTTTCTCTGGGTTATAGAGAAGTAAGGCCAGTGTGATCAACTTTGACTCTGATTCAGAAGTCTGGGAATGGGGCTGGAGAGATGGCTCAGTGATTAAGAGTACTTGCTGCTCTTCCAAGAAACCTTTTAGGTCCAGTTTCCAGTGTTCATATCTGCACTGGTTATAACTCTAGCTCCAGGGGAACTGGCATCCTCTCTGGCCCCAGTGACCACCCGTACACATGTGGCACATACACGTCTACACACACAGATAAAATTAAATCTTTTTAAAGAAGTCTGGGAATGTAGCTCAGTGATACGAGTATATGCCCATGTAAACAGGGCTCTGGGTCCAATTCTCAGTGCCACAGTAGGTAGGCAGGTAGGCAGGCAGGCATGCAGGCACATAGTTGCACATAAGTAAGGCCTAAAAGTTCTGAGCTTCCAACTGCTTGAACCTGTACCTGGTAGTTAAGAAAGTTCATCTGCCCCATACATTAAGCATGATAGCATTGTGCACCTGTAGCCCTACCTGCTGTGGAGGCCAAGTCAAGGATTCCTTGTGCCCAAGAATTCCTGGGTCACATTGCAAGGTCCCTCTAAGAAAAAAAAAAGACAATGAAGTCTTCATATACTCAAACCTAATTGGGCACTACAGAACTTATCTATAAAGATAATTAGTGAATGAGTGTTGTTTCTGTGTAGTCCTTTTCATGAAACTCGTGTCTCATTATGTCATTATGGTCAGAGTTTTGCTTCAGAATTGGTGTTAGAGCTCAAACCCAGAGTTTGATGCACACAGTGTGCATGGTCTACCACTTGGTCACATTCCACACACTTAGCTGCAGTTACCACATAGTAGTAGGCTGTGAGCTGAACCTGGCCTGCCTGAACCAGGTCATTGTTGGCTCAGAACCTCATCTTTGCTGTTGTCACTTGATTCCAGGTACTGTAAGCATTGTCTTTCAAACAGCAGTTTTTGGTTAAGTATTATTGGTAAAGATATCCAGTTTGTGTGTGGGGTGGGGGAATCAAAATTTTGGGAATTGGCCACAAGGAAGGAAAGTGTTAATTTGAAGACTAGGTTAAAAGAATGAAAGGAATCTTAGAATTTGTGACAAAGGAAATGGCATAGGAGCAAAAGTAGGAAAATATAAATGCATAATTAAATCATGTTGCATGATACAAGGGAATCAGGGAGTCTCTTCTTTGATCTCTGCGCTGAAAAGAAGGTAATTGATTGTTGATTATCCTCAAAGAGGATGAATGATGAAATGGAAATAATATTTAGCATCCTCACAGCCTAGTGTTGGTATTAAGCTCTTTAAAATTCTCTGTCCAGGCGTGGGCTGGCGTCGACGGTAGGGGTGGAATCCTAGGCCTTTCTCATGTTGAAAGATTCTTTAATGAGCTCCAACCCCAGTCCTATTTTGTTTTACTTGACATGTGAAACTTGATTACTGATTTCTGTTAAACATAGAAGTCAATGTGAATAACTTAACTCTTTTTGTTCATTAACTTGGCCCTAGATGAATTTCTAGGTTTAGATTTTTAAATAATAAAATGTAGTGTGTATGCGTAGTGTGTTAACATAAAACGGTTCTTAATTCTAGAGCTAAATGTAAATAGTCATGGCTCAGGAACATAGATTTAGGTCATCTCAAATGCTATGTTGTAATGTGAATATGATTTGTAAAGTTAGTTAAACAAAGTAAAGTAAATGCAACAAAAAGTTGTAAATCAAGAAACCTTTCTTGGTTAAGTTGGTTACAGCAAAGGATTATACTGCTGTCTGATGACATTCTTGGCTGTCGAGTTGGTGAAAGTTAGTAGTCTGGTAATGCTTCTGGAAGATTTTACATGATAGCCACAGGGCTCTTAGGTCAGGCACAGGTGAACGGCTGTTGAGCCTAAAGATAGCTTAAGAGAATTTAGCCCTGAGTTTGCAACATTCCAACTCTCCACAGATGTGGCATTATAATCAATTAGCCTTAGTGACATGGGTGTGACCTTTTTCTGGGAACTTGAATTCACATTAGTCAGTTGTTTCCTAAGCAAAAGAGGAATGCTTCTCACCACTGAAGAATGTTATATTTAAGTCCAATTACGGTTTTTGTGGTGAAATAGAGAGATTGTCTAGCGACTCTGGTCTTGAACCAGAGAAGTGCTCTAACAGTATTAGGGTTTTAATACACATTTTAAGGGAAATGCATAAGGAACATACCTGCCTTGGCTTCAATTGGTTGTTATCCTTGGCACCAGAATTGGAACTCCTACAACTAATTCCAGGGTTTTAAAAATTCTTTTAAGTTATTTCTATGAAGTGAAATCCTACAGGTTGGTGCTGTCTCCTGGGTGTAGTGTTGATGCTGCCTTATTTTACCACCTTCCGTGGGTTAGCAACAGCAGGGTGACAGGGCCGAGAAATTTAAAAGTGCTTCAAAAAAGCATAGTCCTTGTGAACCTCACTCAGTCTCATCTCATGCTTCCTTGACTAGGTGAGACCACCCAAGCTAGACCTCACTGAAGCACACTTGGCTGCAAACACAGGCAGTGCTGGCTCTTATCAGTTAGATTATTTTCTTCACTTACTCTCTTTTTCAGTTATGTTAGTTGCTAGGGCAAAAGCACCTATACAAAGTCATGTGGCATTTAATTTTTATGATAGATGGCTGAGACCTTTTGAAGTAATAAGGGTTTGTTAGTCATTGTAAGAAATACAGGACCACAGGCCTGCAGAGGCTTATCAAGAATCATAAACCTTTTAATGATTGTCTTTATTGTAGTAGCCTGTTTTTTTGTTTGTTTGTTTGTTTGTTTTAACCTTCTATTATTTAGGTATGGCTTGGTCAATCTATAACCCCATTAAATACTTGAAGAATTTTAACTTTTGGCCTCCAAGAAAAAGAATGAAGATGTTATAGTAACTGTTCTCCTCTGTCTTTTGTGTTTTGAATCATGTGTATTAAAATGTTTCCAAGGAAGGTAAATATGATACTTCACAAAACAGGAAGAGCTGTATTGGCTTACGTGTCTCCTCTGTGTGTGTGTGTGTGTGTGTGTGTGTGTGTGTGTGTGTGTGTGAGAGAGAGAGAGAGAGAGAGAGAGAGAGAGAGAGAGAGAGAGAGAG